CACCCCCGACGGACGGAGGACAGACAGACTCAGACTCAGCAACAAGACTCGCGGCGTAGTCTAGACGACAGCGAGCAGCAAAGTCGACAAGCTCAGCAACTAGGGCAGACGCAGCAGCAGACTCAAAGGAAGGGTCAGTGACAGCAGTGGCCAGGAGACGCGTGACAGTAGGACTGGCAGCACGAAGAGAGTCAGACTTCGGATCAGCAAGAACAGGAAGAGAGGATGCAGGAGGAGACGGCAGAGGGACACGCTGTGGAGCAGTGGAAGGACGCAGAGTCATATAGTGTGTGCCAGGGACAGGTGGAGGACGCTCACGCGGAACACGGCGACCAGTGCGAGCAGCACAAACAGGTGACACAGGATGAGACACAGGCGACACAGGACGAGACTCAGGCTCACGACGCTCTGTAAGACCGCCTGTCGGACCAGTGTAGGGAGAGGGACCAGGAAGTGGCGAGGCAGGCGGTAGCTGTGACTGCGACTGGACAGACGGAGGACACTCTAAGGAGGGAGGAGGACTAGGAGGAGGCGGCTGACCAAGAACCTGCTGAAGGAGCGGAACGAGGTACGGCCGCGGCCGTGAAGTGCCCCCAGAAGCAGCAGAGACAGCACCTGAGCCTCCAGCCGAACCAGCACCAGCAGTACCTCCAGCAGCTCCAGAACCTCCAGCAGCACCAGCAGCACCTCCAGCAGCTCCAGTACCTCCAGCAGCACCAGCAGCTCCAGGACCTCCAGCAGCACGAGCAGCACCTCCAGCAGCTCCAGCACCTCCAGCAGCACCTCCAGCAGCACCAGCACTAGTAGCACCAGCAGCAGCTCCAGGACCTCCAGTAGCAGCAGGGCCTCCAGGTGGCGGTACCTCAACACCAGGAGCTCCACTCCGGAGGCTGCAGCGCCGAGCGTACCACTCACGTAGCCGCTGAGGGGAGGGAGGCTCCGGCTGCGACACTGCACCAGCCCCAGCTCCAGCAGACCCCCCAGCTCCAGTGGCCCCACGACGGAGGCTGTAACGCTGGGAGTACCACTCACGCAGCTGCTGTGAAGAGGGAGCGCCAACAGGCGCAGTACGGTCAGTCTCAGAACCCCCAGTCTCAGCTCCTCTAGGCTCAGCACCCCCAGTCGCAGCACCCCCAGGCTCAGCACCCGCAGTCTCCGCACCCCCAGACTCAGCACCCCCAGTCTCCGCACCCCCAGGCTCAGCACCCCCAGTCTCAGTACCCCCAGACCCAGCACCACCAGGCTCAGCACGCTCAGCACCTCGCGCAGGACCAGAGTCAACAGCTACCTCGACAGGCTCGACCGGGTCTACCTGGGATACACCTGAGGGAGCAGCACCCTGGGGAGGGAGGGGGTCTACCGACGGGACACCTGGGGTGAGGAAGAGCGGCGGAGGGGGGGAGCGGGGCAGTGCGGTAGGGGAAGAGACGGTAAAAGGGTACCGACTCGTCAAAGGTGACGTCCTGAGAGGCGAAGACACGGCGCGAGGTGGGTTGGTAAAACTGCCAGCCAGGCGCGTCAGGGACAAAGCCAAGGAAGACACAGGGAACGGCACGGGAGGAGAGCTTGTCCGCGGACGTATCGCGGACAAAGGCTCGACATCCCCAGACTCGGAACACCGACGCATTGCCAACCTCCCCCGTCCAACGCAGGGTAGGCGAGGTCTCCGGAACAGAGACACGGGGCCAGAGGTTGAGCTGATGCGCAGCGTACTGCACTGCAAACGGCCACAGGAAATGGTGGGCAGCCGCATGGATCATGGAGGTACGAGCGACCTCCATGACGAGACCAATGCGGCGCTCAGCAACCCCATTCTGCTGCGGAGAGGCCGGGAGAGTGAACGTCTGGCGGATGCCGTGCTCCGCACAGTAGGCTGCCAAGAGGTCAGAGGAAAACTCGCCACCTCTGTCAGAGTGCAGACGTAGGACAGGAAAGTCCGACTGGAACCGCTCGCGGAGCTGGAGACGAGCAGCGCGGATCCAGGGGATCAAGACATCAGGGACCTCACCCTTGGTACGCAAGGGGAAGACCGTGGTGTAGCGCGTGTAGTCGTCGACGACCAGCAGAAAGTACCGCTCGTGGCCCTGTCCCCGGACGCGGGCGGGGCCCCACATGTCCAGGTGGAGAGTCTGCAGGGGAGCCTCTGTGGGAGGGAACGAGGAAGAGTGAGGAGCGGCGCGCTGCCGCCCCTCGACACAGGGAAGACAGGGAGGAGCGCGAGGGTGGCAGGGGAGGGAGAACTTTGGGAAGACCAGAGACAAGGTACCTGGAGTGCATGCCGCGAAGGCGCTGCACTGACAGGTGACCAAGGCGGTGGTGCCAGAGGACAGTCCTGTGCGACAGGGAGCGACACGAGCAGGGGGCCGATAGCTGACCTGACGCAGACGCAGCTACCTGAGGGGACTCAGTGGTCAGTGTGTACAAGTCCGACCCCGGCTGCCGAGTGAAGGTAACCAGGTGACGACCCGTCTGGGCACACGTGCAGTGTGTCACACGCTCGTAGGCAGGGGTGAACTGGTGAACACCCGCGTCCTGGAGCGCGGAACCCGCCACCAAGTTCATAGAGAACGAGGGGAGGTAGAGGCCTGACAGCGTGCCAGACGGGACAGCAGGACAAGGGAGGGCAGTGGTGGAGGTCGCAAGGACCGGACCCCCTGAGGGGTCAGCCAGGGAGACAGCAACCGGTCTAGGAAGCTGCTCTAGGGCAGTGCGGTCACAAAAGAAACAGCGGGAAGCACCTGAGTCCAGTGTGAAGGAGTGCAATGCCTCAGTAGGTGCAGTACCAGCAGACGCAGACGCACTAGCACCTAGGGCAGCAGCCTCACCAGGACCTAGAGCAGCAGACGCACTAGCACCTAGAGCTGCAGCCTCACTGGTCCCAATACCCGGGTCGGGCGGTACACTCAGGTAACAGTCACCCTCAACACTAATAGTCAATGCATACATAGCAGCAAGGATAGCATCATAATCAAGAGCAAAGATATCAATCCCTTTCTTAAGCAGATCAGCCCAGCGGGGCAGCTCAGAGGCGTCAGGAAACTACTCGCGCCAGGCGTCGTCGAGGCGAAAGAAACAGCGCTGCGCCGTGTGAAACCTCCCACATGTCTGGCCAGTGCGGTCACCTGTGCGGATGACGTACGGGCAGGTACCTCCACCCCCAGACCCCCCACGCTGAGAGTACCACTCACGGAGCTGCTGGGGCGACTGGGGCTCGCTGGGACGCTGCTGCTGCTGCCTCTGGCCGCCGTCGAACCCGCCACGCTGCACCGCTCCACCGCGCCCTCCACCAGCTCCACCGCTGCCACCACTGCCACCACCACCACCTCCACCTCCACCACCGCCGCCTCCACCACCCCCAGCTCTGCCACTGCCCCCCCCACTACCAGCACCACTCCCACCACTGCCGCCACCACCGCCGCCCCCTCCACCCCCTCCACCACCACCTCCCCCGCCGCCGCCTCCTCCCCCTTTGCCCCTGCCGCCCTTGCGCCTCCCACTGGGAGCGAACGCAGCTCCGACCCCCTGAGCACCGATGTAGTCGACAGCAGCAGCAGATGCAATGGAGGGGAGAAGGGGGGAGGGGGAGCATCCCTCAAAGAAGGGTGTGCGAGGGTCGCCACGAGAGGCACCTACAGCTACAATGCTCTTCTCAGCTGCTAGGAGTTCCTTCTCGAGCAGGTCGACAGTGAGGTCTGTGGGGGAGAGAGCGAGAAAGTGGTCCCTGACAGTGCGAAGAGAGTCAGGGAGGCGAGTGACCAGGTGGTAGAGGGTGAGGTACATCGGGGGGGGGGGGGGTTCTTGGCTAGGAAATCGGGGGAGAGTGCGGCACGGTAGCAGAGATCACTAGTACGGAGGTGAGTGATGAGGTCAGCTACAGTGGCAAAGGCAGACAGATCGGGGAAGAGGTAGGGCAGCGAGAGACGGCCTATCGCAGCAGTGGCAGGGGAGGAGTAGCGGGCAACTACAACATCATACAGCTCCTTAGCGGTCTTATGCTGGCCGAAGTGCTCGCGCTCATCTAACGGCAGGTGGTTGCGAACGGCTAGGCGAGCATGGGCGTCACGAGTCTGCCACTGTGAGCGAGCAGTACTGTCAGCAGTAGCAGCAGGTGCGGGAGCAGCGCCGGACGTGTGGTCATAGAGGGAAACATCGTCCTTGGCAGTGATCTGGAGGTACAGGTGAAGGTCATCGAGCCAGACATCGAACTTAATCGGACGGCCCTCGGCGGTGAGAACAGTAGGAGTGGCCATAGTGGCAGTAGCAGTAGTGACAGTAGCAGTAGTAGCAGTAGCAGTAGAAGCAGTAGCAGGAACAGGAGCAGTAGTTGCTGCAGGTGGGACGGCGCGGCTCGGTCAGGGCGGCGCGATTCGGGCGGCGCGACTCGGGCGGCGCGGCTCGGGCAGGGCGGCGCGGCGCGGCTCGGACTAGACTACACGGCACGGCGCGACGGTGGGCCTGTGCGCGGGCTGCTGTCGCGGGCGGTCCGCGGCTGTGCGTGGGCTGCAGTCGCGCGCGGGCGGCGGCTTACGAGGGCGACGCGGCCTACGCGCGGGGCTGCGGGCCGCTAGCTGGCTACGCGCGGCCAGGAGGGCCGGTCGACGGGTGGCTAGCAGGCTGCTCGTGGCGGCGTGGGCGGCTAACGGTCGGCGCGCGTGCAGAAACGGCCGCGCGCGGGCTGCTAGCGGGCGACGCACGCTAAAAAAAAAAAAAAGGTCGCGCGCGGCACTAGCGAGCTGCGCACGGGCAGCAGGAGAAGGAGAGGCGCACGAGGGCGCACTAGGAGAGCGGCGCTCGAGGGCGCTAAGTTGATACGGCGCTCGAGGGCACTTCTAACGGTGGGCCCTTAGGTAAGTCCTAGGTCTAGAACCTAAGCTCTTAATACCATGTCAGAAACAAGAAGTGATCAACTAGAAACATTTGGGAGTACAAGTATGAAACCCTAGAGAAATGTACACCCTAAAGGCTAACCCACTGTAGCCTACAAAACAGAAACATATACAATGTTTGACAGATTCCTCGCCCCAGACCCGCGGCTCTCCTTGTCGCGGGTGCGCCTGGTTCAACTGCGACTGTTGTCGCTCAGACTCCTGCAACTGCTGCTGCTGTGCCGTCCGCCCCGGCTGTGCCGGCTGATCCCCAGGCGCCCCCTGCTGCACCGCCGGAGTCTGTCGCCGACCCCTCGGCTCCCGTGCCTGCGGGACTTGTTGCCGCGCCTGAGTTGCTGACTCCTGCCTCTGCCTCGTCCCCGCAGGCGGCGTCCGCCACCACTGGCGGCCCGGCCTCATTGGTTGCGCCGCCGGTTGGGGATCCGGCTGCACCCGTGGTGCCACCCACTGCTCCAGTGGCGCAGCCGTCTCGCCCGCCGTCGCCTGGCCGCCGCCCATCTCGCCCCCATTCTCCCGCTCCCCACCAGGATCGTGAGTCCTCACGGCGCCGGCGCAATTCTCCCCGTCGCCACCATCAGCAGGCCCAGTGGCACGCGAACCGCGGCGGTCGCGGTCGCTGGTGGGGTCCCCGCGGTCGCGGAGGTGGTGGGGCGTACGATCCGTCCGTGAGGATGGCGGGTCTGCAGCGGGCGGTGTCAACTGCGGTGCATGAGGAGAGGGCCGCCCTGACCCAGGGCAGCTCCTCACGCTGTCGTGGCCCATGCTGCTCCTCGACAGGCTGTGCTTCCTGAGAATCCGCCGCCTGATGCACTAGTCCCTCATCAGATTCCGGCCCCGTCGGCTCACGCTGCGTCTGCCTCCGCTCCTGTTCCTGGGTCTTGGCTTCGTCTGCCGCCCGTTCCGCCAGTGGCGGGAGTCGAATTTGTGGCCGCGAGAGGAGAAACGCAGTATCCTCATCCCAGAGTTGGCGGTTCAGCAACCCTTGCCCTCGAGGAGCCGTTTCTAGCGCAGGCATTACAGCCTCCACAGTCCCGTGTTCCAGAGGCGACTCTCGCCCAGCTCTTCCGCCTCGCGGAGAGCTTTCACGCTCTGCTCCTGATACAGGTTCTCGCGCACTCGTCACTTCCTGCAGTTCCCCCTGAGACGTTCCAGGATCGCCACCGTGAGTCGTGCCTGGACGCAGCCGACCAGCTCGCAGTGCTGCTGGCGCCCATGCTGGCTGCGCCCGCAGAGGGTGGAGTTGCGGCTGCTGGACAGCTCCATGAGGCTGTACGCAGCCTGAGGCGCCATTTGCGTGCAGGTTCTGGAGCCGCCGTGATCGGCGCAAGCACGCTTGTGGTCCGGGAGCTGTGGCGGACCCTGACGGGCGTTCTTCACTCCCTTGGAGCTCACCGCATGTAGATGCGGGCTCCGTTTGCCCCATCCCCACTCTAGGAAGTTCTGAAATCTGTTTGTGATGCCATGCGTGTATTGGCTGCGCCTATGATTGTCACTGTGTGTTTTTCCTTGCCGTCCCTCACGCGCGGCCGAAGGCCGCGCCGTCGAGCGTCAGCCGCCGAAGGCGGCCGGTGCGAGCGAAAAAATGCAGCCGCCAAATGAATAATGAGCAAAGGAAGCTAGCACATGCCCTTAAATAGCTAGGCTACTAAGGGCAGAGGCTAATGGCAGAGGGCAGAGGCCAACACTCTCTCTCTCTCTCTCTCTCTCTCTCTCTCTCTCTCTCTCTCTCGCGCTCTCTCTCTCTCTCTCTCTCTCTCTCTCTCTCTCTCTCTCTCTCTCTTTCTCATGCAGTCCTTGTATTGATATATGGGTAAGTACAAACATGCAGGAAATAGAGGAAACTAGCACCATAAGAGATTACAAACAACTTAGAAACAAATATTCAAAGGTGTGATCCCTCTGTTGAATAACGAATGCGTAATTGTGGGTAAGGATAGGGTGGTGTGCTTGCTACTAGGTGGTGTTGTGTAATATATTTCTGATGTGAAACAACAATGCTTCATTTTCAGAACGTAGTGCTTTTCAGAGTTGCACATTATAGTGATGACATGCATCCATCAACAAATATCACTACATACTTCTGGAAAAAAAAGACCACAACGTTTCCATGGTTGGATAATTTTAAAAAAATTCACGACTCTCATTTAGTACAGGATCACAGCAGTGAGTGGGAGCAGGGAGTTGTAGCAGGTACCAGAAGCATGGAGCGAGAGCCAGGAGTGGGAGATGGTTGACAAGGCTTTGTTTCATACGTTGTGATATGTCAACAATGATTCAAGGCCATATTCTAGTTTCACAAGGTTCACCATTGTTGTTGCAGTGAAGAGGATTGCAGCCACAACAATGCCTGTTGCTGTTGCTATTGGTGATGCATTCATTGCACTGTCTTCTGCTGCTCCTATCATTGCTGCTGCAATTGTTTCTTTTGTTTTTTACTGTGTTACAGATGCTCGTGTTGCTCTTGCTGCTGCTGCTGAGATTGAGGCCACTGTTGGTGGTTTTGTTTTTGGATTTGTTGTTGCAATACCTGCAGCAGTTGCTCCAGATGTAGCCCAAAATCATGCTGCTGTTGTGGCTGGCCCCTCTCATGCAGCTCTCCCTGTTGCTGCAGCCCTCCCTGCTGCGCATTCTGCAGCAACTGCTGCAGGAGCAGCAGCATCTGCTGCCCCTGCTGCTGCTGTCCCTGCCACTCCTGCTGTCCCTGTTGCTGCTGCTGCTGTCCCTGCCACTCCTGCTGTCCCTGCTGCTGCTGCTTTCCCTGCCACTCCTGCTGTCCCTGATGGGTATGCTGTCCCTGCTGCTGCTCCTGCTGTCCGTGCTGCTGCTGCTGTTGCTGCTGTCCCTGCCGCTCCTGCTGTCCCTGCTGCTGCTGCTGTCCCTGCCGCCCCTGCTGTCCCTGCTGCTGCTGCTGCTGCTGCGGCTGCTGCTGCTGCTGCCACTGGCGGTGCTGCTGCTGCTGCTGCTGTCCTTGCTGCTGCTCCTACTGTCCCTGCCGCTCCTGCTGTCCGTGCTGCTGCTGCTGTTGCTGCTGTCCCTGCCGCTCCTGCTGTCCCTGCTGCTACTGCTGTCCCTGCCGCTCCTGCTGTCCCTGCCGCTCCTGCTGTCCCTGCCGCTCCTGCTGTCCCTGCTGCTGCTGCTACTGCGGCTGCTGCTGCTGCTGCGGCTGCTGCTGCTGCTGCTGCCACTGGCGGTGCTGCTGCTGCTGCTGTCCCTGCTGAGTCACACCCTGCAGCTGTTTCCGTATCTGATGTAATTGCTGCATCTGCAACCTTCTCAACAGGCGGCGTCGCTTCTGCCCCAACTTCAAATGCTGCTGTTCATCCCGCATTTCCCCGCTGTGGTCCGCTGGGTTATCCACAACGATTGATTGTTGTGTCTCAGGTACTGGGGTCTGGTTTGTATGGCCCGTTGCCTCTGAGTCCGCCCCTGTCCCTTCCTCCACCACAGCCGCTGGCATTTGATTCCTATTTCTCGGTTCGGGTGCCACTTGTATTTGCTGACAAACGTGTTGCATCCGCCTCAGTCTGAAACGAACCACATTGTCACCATTGTTTTGCGAGGTGTCACCAGGTGTGGGATTGTTGTGGTCAATTTACATCTCACCCGTCACTCCACCGCTCCATCCTGCACTTCCCCTCCCCGCCCCGCTCCCTGCTGCTCCCCTCCCTACCCCACTCTCGGCTGTCTCTCCCCTCCCTGCCCCGCTCCCTGCCGCTGCCCTCCCCGCCCTGCTCCCTGATGCCCCTGCCCTCCTCGCCCCTCTCACTGCTCCTCCCCTCCCTTCCCCACTCCCTGCTACTCCTCTCCTACCCGCCCCGCTCCCTGCTGCTCCTCCCCTCCCCGCCCCACTCACTGCTGCCCCTCCCCTCCCATCCCCACTTTCTGCTCCTCCCCTCCCCGCCCCACTTTCGGCCGCTCCTCCCCTCCCCGCCCCACTCACTGCTGCTCCTCCCCTCCCGGCCCCGCTCTCTGCTCCTCCCCTCCCCGCCCCGCTCCCTGCTCCTACCCTCCCTGCCCCGATCCCTGCTGATCCTCCCCTACCCACCCCGCTCCCTGCTACTCCTCCCCTCCCTACCCCACTCGCGGCTGCTCCTCCCCTCCCCGCCTCGCTCCCTGCTGCTCCTCCCCTCCCTGTCCCTGCTGATGCTCCTCCCATCCCTGCCTCGATCCCTGCTGCTCCTCTCCTACCCGCCCCACTCCCTGCTGCTCCTCCCCTCTCTACCCCACTCTTGACTGCTCCTCCCCTCCCCGCCTTGCTCGCTGCTGCTCCTCCCTTCCCTAACCCACTCTCGACTGCTCCTCCCCTCCCCGCCTCGCTCCCTGCTGCTCCTCCCCTCCCTACCCCACTCTCGACTGCTCCTCCCCTCCCCGCCTCGCTCCCTGCTGCTCCTCCCCTCCCTACCCCACTCTCGACTGCTCCTCCCCTCCCCGCCTCGCTCCCTGCTGCTCCTCCCCTCCCTACCCCACTCTCGACTGCTCCTCCCCTCCCTGCCTCGCTCCCTGCTGCTCCTCCCCTCCCTACCCCACTCTCGACTGCTCCTCCCCTCCCCGCCTCGCTCCGTGCTGCTCCTCCCCTCCCTACCCCACTCTCGACTGCTCCTCCCCTCCCCGCCTCGCTCCCTGCTGCTCCTCCCCTCCCTACCCCACTCTCGACTGCTCCTCCCCTCCCTGCCTCGCTCCCTGCTGCTCCTCCCCTCCCTACCCCACTCTCGACTGCTCCTCCCCTCCCCGCCTCGCTCCCTGCTGCTCCTCCCCTCCCCGCCTCGCTCCCTGCTGCTCCTCCCCTACCCGCCTCGTTCTCGGCTGCTCCTCCCCTCCCTGCCCCGCTTTCTTCTCCTCCCCTCCCCGCCCCGCTATCGCCTGCTCCTCCCCGCTTGTCCAATCCTCCACTCTCGGATGCTCCTCCCATCTCCCCCAATCCCCCACTCTCTGCTGCTGTTGGATTTGATAATCCCACACCCCCCGAGCGCATGTTTCCATTGTTTCCCGAATGATTAAGTCCGTTAAATGCCTCCTTAAATACTTCACGGAGTACTGATGGGACAGCCTGTTGGACACCAGCACCCGCATCCATTGGCTGCTCTTCTATTTCCCCCTCCGACTCTGAACTGCCGTCCTCCTCCTCGTCTGATACTTCAACATCTCCATTCTCACCATCTGCCGCGTGAGTCGCGTTGCCGTCCATCACCCCCCCCCCCCCCCCCCCCCCCATTCTGAGGTTGTTCATGTTCACGATGTTGCCTCCTAGGCTCGCACAGTACATCCCTGTGGTGACTTCTATTGCATGCACTACACAGCGCCACATTCACTCGAGCCTCTGCTTGCGTAGCTGTTTGCACACTCATGTGCCCTTCCAGAGTGTGAAGTGCCTCCCATGTGTCTCTCAATTGTTTGCGCAAATCACAAGTCAGACTATTATGCCCTTTCTCCCCACACTTCCCACATCTACGCAGCTTCCTGCCATCAATCTCACCATGGGATCTCAACCGATTGATGCGTGGCCTTCCCAACTTCTTCGGGTACACTGGTGGCTCAACTGTTTTGTCTGGTACTATCTCTGTGCGGTCTAGAGTGCGAATCTCCGTGTTGTAGAGCTCCTTCAAAGCGGTTGATGTGTAACACCTGTGGATCATGGCTTGAACCACCTGTTGGACATCCGCAAACTCGTTGCCATGCGCCGGCCGGATGTTGTGGAGCAGTACTGCAAACATGTGCATACAAGGCAGCCCATACTCTCTGCAAGAGTACGGGAAAATCAAATGGGTGTGAAAAAAATGTCAGGATCTGTTAGATGACAAACATCAAGAGAAGGCCAGAGATCACAAAAAGGTAATGCATGTAATGACAACCCTAACACCAGGTGCATAACACCAAGTGACAAGTACTTCAAGAATCAGCCTAAACACATAACTCACTTCGAATAATTACATGTGCACTGCGCCTTCTCTGGATCCGCTGCCTCCATCACCACCAAACGCTCCTCCTTGGCTCCAGTGTCACGGATCATATGGTATGAGCTTCTGCCAGTCTTCTCCACCTTGTACTGAGTCCCCATTTGACAATTAGCACGAATGATAGCTGTTGTTTTGGGGGGGAGATCAGCTACCCCGAGAGTCCCATACAGCCCACGACCCTCTTCCATTGCATTCGCTTGCTGTGTTACAAATGAAAGCAATACTTGGGCTGGATTGTCCCTCCTCCACATATGCATAGAGGCATGATGCGACTCCACCGGGTTTGAAGTATAGCACCCAAAACGTGACGCACCAAACAGAAAGGTAACCCAATGTGCGGCTTATCCATCCCTCTCCAAGTGTTGCTTCCCCCCAGGGCACTCTTCCTCGATTTTGTCCATGTAGCCCCGCAACACATCTCTGGTCAATGCTGCAGCCGCGAGCTCGATCTTGCCATCACAGTCGGAACCAAACATTGAATTTAAATTCCTCACCAAGTGTGTGATGCAAAATGACTCACACGCCCCTGGCAGCGCTCTGGCAGCAGCTGCTTTCCATGCTTTACCGCGATCATGCATCAATGTAAACCTCGCAGTGTTGATCTCAGGGGCAGCTACCTTCAGCTGGCTCAAAAAATACTCACACGAATTCGCACTCTCACCTTCTACCCACGCACTCCCTAACCTCGCCAGCTTATGTTCGCAATCTATCATGCATGCATTCAGGGAATGGCCCCGCCATTTACCTTTGTTGTGACATCCATCTACAAATATGATTGGAAAGCAATTTTTCACTATCTCGCGGACTCCTGGGTAAATCACTGCAGCACAATAGAGCCTCTTCTCATCCAGCTTCAATGACACAACGCTTGATGGGTTATTTCGCTTGAAAACATCTAAGATGCTACCAATGTATTGGAAACCCGACTCTCCACCTAGACGATCCTCTCGAGTGACATCATCTATTGACCGGCCACACGTAGCATTGCAGCAGTCGACGCCTAACTTTTCCCGCACCATATGTCGTAGTCCAATGGGTCTAATGACTGTATGAGGATGTACTTTACGCACCAATTGCTTAACCTGTTCCCTCCTAATCCGACCTGGGCATGGCACACACGTATGTGCATGCTGCAGCGTCACAGATCTCACACTAAAGCAGCAATTTCGTGGCCCGGTAGCTACAATCCGAAACGGACAAAATCCCTCAGGTGCTTTGGCCTCATTCTTGTGCCAATCTTTTCCTTTCGTAGAAGGGCAACGCACGTCAAGGGGTTCTGGCCTGTTGTCCCTATACCACGGCCTAAAGTTGAACTTATCGCCATATTTCTCTATCTCATCTCTAGCAGCACTTACGGATGAAACATATACAACATATGAAAATAATCAAACAGAAGTTGTTATTAAAATACTACAAGGTCAGAGAGCAAAATCAACAGATAATTTTGTATTAGGTATGTTTACATTACAAAACATTCCTAAAATGAGAAAAGGTCAGCCAAAAATAGAAGTTACTTTTGAATTAAATAGTAATTCCTTGGTAAATGTGGATCTCCCCCGTCTGTTGCCCAAGAAATGCCCTGTTTAAATAACACATAATTGCAAAGGTGAAAGAATCAAAGGTAAGTAGTTTGATGCAACCCAAACAAGGGATGTGCAACAATACAAGGCATATACCATACATTGCATCTGTAAATCAGTGAGATCACCTTGAAAGAGAACTTCTGAACATTGTGCACACATGGTCTCTGTCTACACTGTCAGAATGTCATTGTTCTCTAGCCTGCAGTGGGGTACTCTATAGCGAGTACAACCCCTTAGGGTTTCCTATATGTATCCTGCTGCTTTCTAGTGAACCCCCCCTTCCTCTTTTGCCTAAACTTCTCTTGCCTAGCTAGGACTTACCTAGCTATGGCTCCTAACACTACCTACTATTTTCACATGCTATCAGAGCAGGTCGATCCCCTTGGGTCGATCCTGTGGGTGGGCTCACCACCTCACTGCTTCCGCTGCTACTGCTACTCTCTGTGTCGCACGCCCCGTGGCCTGCGACGGATTTTTCATCCCGCCGCGCGCTCGGAGCGTGCGGCGGTTTTCTGCCCGCCGTGCGCCCCGAGGCGCGCGGCGGTTGTCTGCCCGCCGTGCGCCCCGAGGCGCGCGGCGGGTTTCTGCCCTGTCACTCCGCGCGTCGCTCCCGGGAGGTGCTGCGACGGGCGACGGGGACCCGCGCGTCGCCCCCCGTCGCCCGTCGTGGCCTGCGCGCGGCTCGTACAGCCTGCGCACGGCCCGTACGGGCTGCGCCAGGCCCGCGCGCGGCCCGTACGGGCTGCGCCAGGCCCGCGCGCGGCCCGTACGGGCTGCGCCAGGCCCGCGCGCGGCTCGGGCCGCCTGCGCGCGGTTCGGGCGGCTGTGCCAGGCCCGTGGGCGGCCCGTTCTTCGCTGCCCCTGCGCTGCCCGCTGTCCCGCGTGCTTCTGATGGCGCCCCACCCCTGCTGCTGCCCGTTCTCCTGAATTAGGGTTTGGGGGTGGGGGGTATGGGGGTGCAGCTTCTGTGTGCCGTCCCCTGCTCCTCCTCCTCCTTCGTCTCCCAGTGCTGCAGCTGCCGCTGAGGGGGGTGGACCTGTTGGAGCCGTCGGAGTGGTACTAAGGGGGGTGAAGGGGGAGTGGAGCTAGGGGTGAAGCAGGGGGTGTGTGTCAGGGGGAGTGGGACTGTTTGGGGAGGTTGAACTGAGGTTGCCGTCGTGTCGCCAGCAGCACCTGTAGTCCGGGGAGTTGCTCCGGTAGCCCAGTCGCAGCCAGTTGTGCCAGTCGCCCGTGGGTCCGTTGCTCGTCTGCCGCTACTTTTAGCCGCGGAGCCAGTTACTCCAGTAGTCCGGAGCGTTGTTCCGGTAGCCGCTGTGCCAGTGTGACTCCTGTTGCCCGTGTGTCTGCAGCTTCAGCCGTCGCCTTCTATCTCCTCTCCTCTCACTCTCGCCTCCTCCTCCTCACTTGCCCTCTGCGATAGCCTCTAGCTTTGCTCATAATTGTGAACTTTAAACTATTGCTTCTTGTACTTGTGCTCAGAATGTGTGGTGACATTGTGATCCACCCTGAGCTTGTTCTGCTTTGCTTGATCTGCTGATTACACCCCACTTTGGCTATGGGGGTGTGTCAGAATGTCATTGTTCTCTAGCCTGCAGTGGGGTACTCTATAGCGAGTACAACCCCTTAGGGTTTCCTATATGTATCCTGCTGCTTTCTAGTGAACCCCCCCTTCCTCTTTTGCCTAAACTTCTCTTGCCTAGCTAGGACTTACCTAGCTATGGCTCCTAACACTACCTACTATTTTCACATACACAATAGTTTGCGAGTGATGGAAGTTTGAAAAAATCAGATAAGAGACACATGAAAGGCAGGCGAATAAAGGATAGACAAGAAAAGGGTGGATTATACTAAAAAATGTGGATGAAACACATGTGCAGGGTGACTGAAGCTTAGCGTTCTGTGTAGACCAACGAAAGGAGTTCGTAACATGGTTGATAAACGACAACCTAGAAAATGCACGATCAATCATGCGGAAGGTAAGTCGTAGGGCACAGTCAGATTATGTTAGTCGCCTACGATGTTATGATAGGCGGATCGAAATCAAGCAAACTTACTATCGACCGCAAGGATCGGAGAAGAGAAATAAAGGGTGCACGTATCAAACGAACCAGAACGCATATCCTGGATTGCTAGCCAATTAAACATTATCCGAGAGAAGGTGATGCTCCTACTTCTGGATATGGTGTGGCCACAGATTCGAGTAAAACACATGGCGCCTATGCTGTTTTTAAGATTGCTTGAGGGAACGTACGCAATAACTTAGAACAAGGTTTTACATCGTCTGTGACTTGTCGCGAACCTTAATCTGTGAAGCAGCATTAGACAAGTCCAAAAGACGGAGGCAACGTAACGTGAGATGAAGGTGTTAGAATGAGAAGGAGTGGTTGCACTAGGAAGATTGAGAGTACAAGTAGGAAAACCTAGAATTGTGTACCCCCTAAGGCTAAACCCACTATAGCCTACAGAACTATAACATATATAATGTTTGACACACCCCCATAGGCAAAGTGGGGGAGAGCAAAGGGGGTCACAAGACCAGTCAAGAAAGGCAAAGCAAGCTCAGGGTGGATCACAACGTCACCACACACTCTGAGCACAGGCAAAGGGCCACAAGGCCAGTTCACATGCAGAGGCATATATGCAACACAAACATCACAGTGATCTCTATCTAGCAGTGCAAACATGCAGGTATATATATATAGATCACAGTACAAGCAAAGCCTACAGCAAGTGAGGAAAAGTGGGCACAAGCCGTAGCAAAGTACAGAAACGCTGATGATCACCAGACTGAAGTGCCTTGGTGAATATATCAGCAGTGTTGGCCTGAGTGGCCACGTAACGCAGACGAAGCTGACCACGCTGCTGCAACTCTCGAGCCAGAAAGTAACGTAGAGCGATGTGCTTCGTTCTGTGCTCCAGTCTGTGCTCCTCACACAAGGCAATGGCAGCCTTGTTGTCGACGTACAGCACTGGAGGAGAACGAGGCCGCTCTCCCAGGTCGGTCAGCAGGTAGGTGAGCCAGCGTAACTCCTGTGCAGCCATGGCTGTGGCGTAGATCTCAGCCTCACAACTGGAGCTGAGAACTGAAGACGAACGCGTAGAACACCAGGAAACTGAGCCAGAGCCAAGGCTGAAGGTGTATCCCTGTGACGACCGCTGAGTAGCCTGGTCGTCAACCCAAGAAGCGTCTGAGTGCCCAGTGAGAACAACTGAGCTCCTCCCTCCAAGCACAAGCCCCATGCCCGATGTACTGCACAAGTAGCGCAATACCCTCTTTGCAGCATCCCAGTGCACCTTTCGGTGCCTACCAGGAGCCACGTAGCGGGCCAGAAGGCCAAGAGGGTACGCTAGGTCAGGACGAGTGCAAGTTATCAGGTACATGAGGCAGCCAACTAGCTCTGGGTAAGGACCACTCGGCTCTACGGACTCATCCGAAGGCAGAGCTGAGAGCGAGTGACCTGTAGCCAGAG